TTCAAGGTTCATACTTGCAGCCATGTCAAGTACAACTCGAATAGAAGACAGCTTCACAATCGGCGAGAAAATATCATCAAAGTCAATACATTTCTTTTGTCCAAAACCTTTTACAATAAAATGGGTTTTGTACCTCAGATTCTTGCCATCATTATTCAATTTGAAAACCCACTTATTTTTCAGAATTTTCCTCCCCTTAGCAACTTCACTAAATCATAAGTGTGATTTTCAAGCGAGGAGTTTATTTCCTATTCTATGGTCTTTTTCTAATCACCTTTCTTTGCATGCTCAATTGCTCATTAGTAGCTCTCGAGCTCCCCTTGATCAGATATCAACACATATTCATTAGGAGAATACTTTTTCGAAGGTTGCCGATCCTTTGTAGATTTTCTCAACTCAAGTTGTGGTGGTGATTTTTGAGTTAGATGTTCTTCTTCAATTTCGGGCTCAACTTCATTTGGAGTAGCATCATCATCTATATCTTCAAGAGGTGGCTGCATATCTCCTCCATTTTCATCATCGACTAAAGATGAAGGAGATAAATCCATGTCAATAAGATCACTAATTTTTAGCTCCGATTGATCATCTTTGCTAAAGTGTTCAACTGTTTGGTCTTCAAGAAACATAACATCACAACTTCAAATAACTTTCTTGTCGACTGAATCCCACAATCAATAACCAAATTCATTATGTCCATAGCCAAGAAAAATATATTGTCTTGACTTGCTATCAAGCTTGGACCTCTTATCCTTTGAAATGTGAATAAAGGCTTGGTAACCAAACACTCTCAAGTGCTCATAAGATACATTTTTGCCGATCCAACCTCTTTCGGGGACATCACCATTCAAAGGATAGGAATGAGACAAATTGATCATGTCAACCGCTGTCCTCATTGCCTCACCCCCAAAAAGATCTTGGCAATTTAGCATGTGGAAGCTGACATCTTGTTTTTTCCACAATGGTGCGATTCATCCTCTCGGCAACACCATTTTGTTAAGGAGTCTTCTTAACTGTCTTTTGGTACCAAATACCTTGGCTGTGACAATATTCATCAAATAGCCCAATGTATTCATCACCATTGTCTGTTCGGATGTACTTCAATTTCTATCATGTTTCTCTTTCAACTATGGCCTGAAAAATGCTTAAATACATCCAGAACTTGATCTTTAGTTTTTAATGCAAAAGTCCAAACTTTCCTTGTCTAATCATCAATGAAAGTAGCAAAATAAAGTGCACCACTATGTGTTCTAGCTTTTAAAGGATCATAAATATTCGAATGAATAAACTCCAAAACATTTTCTTTTCTAGAAACAACATATTTATGAAAAGAAACTCTATGTTGTTTACTTGCCAAACAATGAACACAAGTTTTAAGATGTGTACCTTTCAAACCGAGTAGAAACTCTTTCTTAAACAAAATTTGCAACCACTTTTCACTTATGTGTCCAAGCCGTTTGTGCCACAATTCGGTAGAAGTATCATCTTCAACTGCATTGACAACACCTTTACAAATTTTTTCTTATATTGAATAAAGTGTGCGAGTCTTCTTCCACTTAGCCACCACTAAAGAACCCTTTGTGAACTTCCATTTTCCATCACCAAATTTGTTGTTGTAGTCTTCATCATCTAGCTTCCCGATAGAGATCATATTAAGGTGAATGTCGAGAACATGCCTCACATCTTTAAACAATAACTTGCAACTCAAATTTGTTTTCAAGAAAACATCACCCATGCCAACAATCTTGGACAAACTTTCATTACTCATTCGAACACAATCATAATCTCCTTTGGTATAGGTAGTGGAAAAAAAAACTCGAGAAGTCACATAAAAAGAAGCACCAAAATTAATCACCTAATTGCTCTCTTGGCCCACAAAATTGACATAATCATCTTCACAAACAACCATAAGATCACCATCAGTAGTAGCCGCCATTGTGTCTTCTTGCTTATTATCCACACTTTTGTCACTCATTTTTTCCTTATTCTGGAGCTTTCAGCATTTTCGCTTTATGTGTCATTTCTCATGGCAATAATGACACTCAATGTATTTCTTTGGAAAAGAACCATCTCTTAATTTCACAGCTTTGATCACAATCATGAGGAGTCTTACTCATCCCCATTGTTTTGCTTCGGCTTCTAGCAACAAATGCCTTCAAATGAGAGGAACTCGCTAATTTTCTTCTAGTTTCTTCATTCAACAAGTTACTAGTGACTTGGCTCATTGTGACAACTCCATCGGGCGCTGAATTACTAACCGTCACAACCAAAGTCTCCCAACTTTCAGGCAAAGAACTAAATAACATCAAAACCTATAACTCATCATCAAAAATAATTTTCATAGAAGCAAGTTGGTTAACAATATTTTTTTAATTCATTCAAATGTTCCGGAATTGGGTAGCCATATTTATATTTTAAATTAACCAATTTACAAAATGAAAAAGCTTTATTTGTAGCTGATTTTTTTATCTTAAAGACCTTCTAATTTTTTTCATAGATCATGTGCCGAAATTTCAATAGCTACATGATGAAACACACTATCATCAATCTATTGACGGATAATACCAACGACTTTTCGATTAAGCCTCTTCCACTCATCATCTTTTATATCCTGGGGTTTGCCACTATCACCCTCAATAGACCCATACAAATATTTAGAAAATGATAGGTCATCCATTTTAGTTTTTCAAGTTATCCAATTGCTTTTATTAAAGCTAGACATACGACCCACATTCGTCTCCATTGATTTACACAAATAAATAAATCCGAATAAACCGTAAGCTCTTATACCATTTGTTAGGGAAAATAGATGATTTCCTACAAGTAAATCAATCAATGGAAATAAAAACTAATGAAGAAAAATTAAATCAACGACACAAAATTTTTTATGTGGTTCTCTCAATGTGAGATACGTCTACATGATCGAAATCCAATTCCATTATTAACCAAAAAGTTTTCAAATGATTACAAACAAGACACGAATGGTCTCACAAACAACTCTTAGGTGAATTCTAAATAATTACAAATAAATAAGAGAAAAACCTTACTAAATAAAAGAACAAAAGTCTTTGAAACAAAATTGTAAAAGATCCAAAAATAATAGACCAAATCAGCCCAATTAGAGACAACAGTTGCAACTCCACCAAGTCAAACCCATTACTTTAGCAACAAGCACAATTTCTACTACAATGATGATAATCACGTTGCTTCACACATGGAGAAACATACACAATATCAATATATATTATGAACTCTTGGGTTTTTTTTATTAAAATTCTAGTTGTTACAAAATTAATTATTAAATATCTATTGAGTTTTCAAAAATTAGATATACTATATAGAAAATATACTATAACCAATACCAAATTAAATTAAATATTTTTAATAAATCAATTAGGTCCCATACTCTAATAAGAAGGTATACTCAACCCATCATAGGTTAGGGACTGCAAACTAGAGAAGGTACAAGGGGTTGGTCAATTCAATTTATCTAATTAAAAGATGGCTAATTTTTGTTTTGGAAAAGGGTCTAATGATAGGGGCAAGAAAGGATTTGAATAATGAGGTCTAAGCATATGGTTTGTGCTTTGAACTTGTTCCAAAATATGATTCTTCATGTGAGATATGTGATTCCCATTTCGTCCCACCCACTCAAGGCATCAATCCATGTCATTTTGAATAAGGATTATTGGGTGTGGTTTATTTTTAGACATTTAACTGTTGTAGTTTAAGTTTAAACATGGATTGTGCCTGAGTAATGTAATTTAACCAAAAAAAAAAAAAGAAAAAAAAAAGAAAAGAAAAGAAGAGAGAGTATATAAATGTTTTGTATAAAATTGATAATATTATTAATTGGAGGGATTATGGACTAGACTTCAAGGTGATGAGTAGAACTTTCGTTTCTACTTGCTCCTGCAAAACATATCCTTAGACGCACAAGAGTGTTCTTTTTCAAGAGTCCGCTAATGATGAAGTTAGTAGAAAACTTAAAAGACAAGACATTACTTGCTTTTTGCATACAAAAATATTTTAGAGTTTTAAAATAAGAGCTCTAATGGAACTCTAGAGGTGGTGTGTCTCATATGATGTGATGTTTTGGTTTCTTTTTTATTTTATTTTATTTTTTTTATTACCAATTGCATAGAGCTTTGTTTAGAGCTTCATTTTTAGGAGATGTATCATTTCACTTTTGCATATGGCATACTTTCTAGAAGATGTTTCATATGAGAGGGGAATAATTCTATTAAATTTTGTGCAATGAGGGTCAACAACCTAGACACCAGACTCGAGTCTTTCAAATAATGACTATGAGACACTTCCAAGTGTCTTGAATTGGAATGACCATTCCTAATTTTGAGAGGTTTGGGTTAGTTTCGATAAGCCTGATCCACTCACAGAACTCTAAGATTACTTAATTTTTAGATATTTAAAAATTCAATTGTGCTACATGCATAAAAATAAAGATTAATTATATCAAAACTCTTATACTGTATTTGGTTGGGAGATTTAAGGAGGGATTTGGAAAGGAAAATGGAAAAGAAAGGTGAAATTTAAATAAAACATACCTATATTTCATCTAATTTCACACACCTTTTTCATTTCCCTTTCCCTTTCCAAATCCCCAACCCAAACACAGCGTTAAAGTATCGATAAATATCACTTTACTTCTCATTTATTTACCTGTGGTTTGGATGTGGTAAAAGTAAACAAAATTTATAATTGAGAGGGTCAAAATGTACGAATTCATAAATGAAGAGAGTAAAATAATATTCACTAATAATTGAGAGGGTTTTGGTGTAATTAATCCTAAAAAAAAATGCATAGAATGTTCCCAAAAAAAAAAAAAAAAAAAAATTGACACAAATGGAAAAATAACAGGGATTAGGAGTATAATTTGTGCTTCTCTTTTTGTTCAAAATGACTTCCATCAAAATTCTGTTTATTCTAGGTGCTCAACATTCCTTGTCCAACTATCAATTCAAAAAAAGGGATGAGAATCAGTATATCCAGAGTGGTTAATCGTGTGAAAATATAGACTTCCAAGACAACAACCAAAACCAAAGCTCATGACAAAACAAAAAGTCTTATGCCGATTTCAACCAACTAACAAAGAAAAGAAAATTCTGGATGTTATTGACAGATGATGGCTAGAATGATGCTGAGTTTGATCGCCGCAGCTGGTATCTGGCGAAGGGGGTTGATGAAGACAGAAGCATTTCGACTTCCTGCTAACAACAAGAAAGATCAAACAAGAGAGGGAAGTTAGTGATCAGCCACACCAGTCTTGTTTCAATGTCTTTAGCTTTCTTGATTGTCACACAAACAATTAAAGGACTTGACATTGATAAATTATAATGAAAAGAGCATTTTTTTTTCCAATTCACAACATGTATGATGCATTTGGATCTTGGATTTGTTGAGGAGGGAAACAAAAATGAAAGAGAAAAAATACAGGTAAAGAAAAATGAAGTTGGAACTGTTGTTTGGTTGTGTTCTGATTTTCTTGTTGTCACACATCAAACTTGGTTGCTGAACTGTTTTGAAAAAACAACCTTTTTAGAAAATATCAATAAGTGGTTTTCGAATTTTCAAAAACTAGCTTAAAAAAACTGAAAACGATGAATGTCTCGGACAAAAATATGATCAAAGGTCCCATGCCGAAAATACAATCTTTTCCCTTTTTCTTTCTTTTTATAGTGGTGAAAAGGAAGAATATACAATAGCAAATTGACAGTTATACAACACAACTACAACACAACAGAAGGGAAGGAAGTTAACAAGAGAGAGAACTATGACATACAACAACACCATAGAAGGTTCAAGTAAACTCAGAAATGTGGAAATTGCAAATGCCTGAATGAAGAAAACAACAGTGACCTTCCAATTTATTATTCACCATCATGCTATCCTAGTTGATATATTTATATTGTTAGGACTAATTTTTTTGGGTGAAGTATCAATAAAATTTTAAATAGTGATCTTATGAACTGTTTGGTCATCACTTTTTCGTATAGACCCAACGGTCCTATTCTAGTCTAAATTACATAAGGGATCAGTGATCAAGTGTAAACGCGCATGTGTTATGTGTTGATGGACAAATGTGAGTTTTCGCATAATATTGAAATTACTAAACATAATATTTAAAAAAAACTTCTTAGTGTATTTTTTTCAAACATAATACTCTAATGTAATACTATAAAAATATAACACTCCAATGTAATATAATAAAAAACTCTTTAGTGTATTTTTTTCAACCTTAACAACGTAACATTCTAAAAAAATTCTTTAATGTATTTTTTCCAAACATATCACTGCAATCAATGTAATACACAAAAACTCTTTAGTGTGTTTTTCCTAAACGTAACACTCTAATATAACATACTAAAAACTTTTTAGTGTATTTTTCCTAAATATAACACTCCAATATAACACACTTAAAAACTACTTAGGGTATTTTTTTCAAATGTATAACATTTTAACAAAACTCTTTAGTGTATTTTTCTCAAACGTAATAACGTAATATTCCAAAAAAATTCTTTAGTATATTTTTTTCAAATGTAACACTCCAACTAATGTAATATATTAAAAAAACTTCTTAGTTTACTTTTCTCAAACATAACAACGTAATATTTCAAAAAAACTCCTTAATATATTTTTTTCTAAACGTAACACTCCAATCAATGTAACACACGAAAACTCTTTAGTATACTTTTTTTAAACGCAACACTCTAATTTAACACTCCAATGTAACACCACAAAATCACATTAACAGAAATGTAAATTTTTATGCTCAACAACTAACATTTCAGCCATCAATCCCTCAAAAAAGAATCTTCCACACATCACCTCTCCATTCCCATCCAAAAAAATAATCAGAAAATTGAAAAGATGAATCATAAAAGGACATTTACTTAAACTCAAATAGCATCAAATCAAATAAATACAACTTTCTAAAACAAAAATGACTAATTGGTTCATAATAAAATTCTTAGGACTAAATGGATCAACATTCTCCCATATGAAATTTATGGGTAAAATTTTCAATTTTGGTATTTATTCATAAATCCTTCTTCACCTATTTATATTCCACTTAATCCTAATTATTTTTTTTATATTTCAATAAGTCCTATAAGTGACGTAATTATCAAACTACCATTAATAATAATATTCACATTAGCAGTGTGAATGTTTTGTGATGTGAACATTCACACGTTAATGTGAACATTCATACTATAAAATATGAATGTTCACATCATCAAACTGTAAACCGTTTAAAATATTTATAAGGGTAAAATTGTTCATATTAAATATAAAAATTAGAATTTGATGGATCAAATATCTAAATAATAAAATTTATTGAAATATAAGAATATATTATAAATTAATTGAGATACAAATACTTAAAAAAGAATTTCCTAATACATCGCCAATTTTTTTTTCTTCTTTTCTTTGGTGGCTGAAAACTAGGTCCCAAATGAAGCACTAGAATTGAAGAGTTTTTACTCATAGAGGACAGTCAAATCCAAGATTATTGTTCGCACCTATTTTTTGTAAAGTTTTTGTCGACAGGTAGATTAATCAAATGGTGACATTTGGCAAAGTTAGAATGAGAGTTTCTCATCAATCAAAGGACAAATGGCATTAGAGAAGTTGATCGTGTGCATTGATGACTCAGAAGATGGGACAGTTATCAGGACTTAGTAGGTTGCTTGTAGAGAGGATCATGTGCAGAATAAAGACTAGGCTCTATCGATGGGAGGCCTAGAATGTTGAAGGACATGTGGAAACATGAGGGGGAGATGGTTCGACAGGTAAAGACTTGATGAAGTTTGAAGACTTGAAAGTGAGGGAGCAGTTACAGAAGTAGTTAAGGCAGTGACAGTTGCATGTTTAGAGTCCTGCAATCATAAGCCAAGAAAGGAGGGAGTATAAAAGCCAAGAGAATGACAGGAAGAAGGACATCAACAACTCAACAACTCAACAACACTTAGCTTTTAGACTTGGGGGTAATCCTGTAACTTAGAAGTAGTTTCTTTGTAATTCATAATTCGTAACTTGGTGAACTTTAGTAATTTTATTTTGAAATTACTTTTTATTTACTTTATAACTACCAATTGTTTTAGAGAAGTCCTCATTCTTTTGAGACATTTGAATCAATTGCACAATTGCCTGATTGTTCTTGTACAATTGTTTGGTTTTAATTATTATTCAATTCCTATCGATTAGGGATTAACATAATTTTTACTAACATTTATATAATAGGGCAATGCATCCATCTTAACTTGGATGACATTCGAAACTGACACATCACTGGATTTGGATCCTTTTTGATGCATCAGCAATGGAAAATGAAGATTAGATAACATTCTAATGGATGTGATTTCTTGAATCCACAAGATCAACTTTGAATCTACAAGAAAAATAAGAGAAACTTTTAAAAATATTATTAATTGAATGAATAAAACTCCTCATGCCCGTACACTTACATGACTATTTATAATTATAAAACAAAACCTAATATTTGTAGAACAAATAATTTTAAAATTGGAAACTTAGATTGATACATAATAGTAAACCTAAGTAAAAAATAGAAGATAAAAATCTCAATCTCGTGTTGTGCAAACTAATTCTCGCCTTGACGGGTAGACCCAACGGCATTGAGGGTCAGGTCAACCCAACTTTAGATACTCAGATGTCAAGCTGGCTTCTATCATACCTGGCTCCACTTGCAATCCTATTGCAGCCTATTTTGGCAAGATCGTTAAAAGTCAGTTTTTTGACTTTTTGACTTTTTAAAATTATATTACCTCTTTATTTTTTTAAAAGTTTTTTCAAAAAAAAAAATAAATAAATAAATCTAGCTTTTAACCTATTTTTCAAAACACGCTAACTACTTTAGACTAATTAACAAAATAATAGTCAAAATCTAATTCCAAAATCATATAAATAAAAATATAAAAAAGTTCAAAATCTTATTCTGCATTACTTTCCATTTCTGGTAGGTAATATAGATATTTATTGTAATGCACAAGGCTATAACATATCATTGAAATTCAAAATTAACTGTGTATAAATTGTCAAGTTTTAAAATCCCCTTTATTATTGGTTTAAAATAAAGATGTGATAATGTCGCTCTTTCTCAAACATTGATCATGAAATAGATCTTCTCTCCATTTTTGGTTTGAAATGGAGAGATCTTCAACGGTTAAAGGGAGGGAGAGAGATTGTTAATTAATGAACTCTATTAGAAACCTAACATAAAAATATGTCTGTGATCAAAGTGGCCTATGCTGGAGTACACCATTCCATTTGCTACTCTGGACTGTGTCAATTCCCACAAAGAAAAATGTTGAAAGAATAAGGCTAAAAAGCCACAAACATGTGTAGAGATTTCAAACGTTTAGCGCTTAACTTATAAGTTTACTTATTTTTTTTCTTTTGTTTATTTTTGTCTTCATTTTAAAATCTTTTCTTTTTAAATCTGTCCAGACTAGACGATCCTAAAAATTAAAATGATTTGTAAAAAAAAAAAAATCTACCAAAGACGAAAAATAAGCCAAAAGAATAGCTGAAGCCCAAGTCCATCCCAGTGGTTGGGGTGTTGTCGGCAAGTTCATCAAGTCAAAGGTTCGAGTCCATAGAGAACCTTAACCCAAAATTTACTCGAACAATATCAATACTTACACTCAACAGAACCTAGTGATCGACATCATTTGGTATCAAAATGAATGAGCCACTGTTTTGGAAGCATCATAATCAACCTTTTGTAGATGCAAATTGTCTCCACTAACTTACATCTCATGACATAGGAGAATCAATGAAAAATCTCACAAAAATTCTCCAACCATCACTACTTTGGATTGATTCTAAGCCCTCTGTAAAGCACTGCCCTTGGGATACTGCTATTCGTGCCTCCTTTACCAGTGCTTCAATACCTCAGTCCGAAGCTGAGGCCAAGCAATCCTCAAGAGTGTAGTGGGCCTTTCCAAATCACACATTTTGAACAACTAACACTATGCTAGGCTTTGTTAACTGTGCGAACCATTATGTCTCCAAGGTTTGTGTCAAACTTGTCTTGCATCACTTTTCTAAACTATTCAAATTCGGTTCATATAATTTTGAAATAAGTCCACCTATTGCAAATGAATTTTGGGTTGGATGCCTCCAGCACTCTAATATGTTATTAGAGTTAGGTCTTGGGTAGTCTCTTATGGGTCAAGTTGCCATTCCAGGTCTATTTTTTGTGTCTCTTATCTCTGTCACCTGCACATACAATCAAGTCACGTATGCGGGAGAAGAATGGAAACTTATCTCACATCGTCTCACTAAGCCATCCAAACTCGGTTCATGTAATCTTGAGGCCGCTCCATCAATTGCCAATTAATTTGGAGTTTGCCGTCTCCAAAACTCTAAGGTAATGTTTGGATTAAGGATCTGAGAGTAGATTTATAGAGGGAAAGGAGAAGAGAGGGAAAAGTGACTAACAGTATGAATTTCCAGTGTAACTTGTGGAATAATAGAAACAGTAAAGTTACCTAATCAGAAAAGTGCTAAAAAACTAACAAACCCTCTGATTTTTGCAGACACCCAATCATCTAGAAAATAAAAAAATAAAAAAGTGAAAATAAGAAGAACTAGCATTAGAGTCTAGACTCAACCCTTTACAAGAAACTACTGTACTGTCTTTGGCGTTCAATTTGTTAATTAGTTTCTATAGATATAAAACATTAGGAACTTTTTAGAAAACCCATGACATATTTTCAAAAAAATAATGTTTTTGGTTTTACAAGCAAATTTGTTGGTAGGTTTTTTCATGCTTTAATCACTACATGTGCCAAATTACTTTTTAAAATGGCTATTCAGTCCACGAGTTTCGCTTCCTTCCATAAAAGCGGGGTTATGGGAAAGGCAAGAAGTATGCACTCGTACCCTATTTTTAAAGAGAGTATTTTTGTAACTTGAACTCATGCCACCAGAACGTTAATAGCAAATCTTTATCATTGGGTCAAGCCACCCATGTACCAAATTATTTGAAGGACGAAAAATATAGAGCATATTGCTGAACTTTGAAGAAGCAAGAGAACTGTACCTTCTTCTTTTTGAGCCAACTATTTGTTTTCCTCAACTGAAACACCTCATGCTCCAATTGATTGGTGTAAGCCTACAATCACCAAAACATACAGAAAGTACTACACTTTAATCATCAAATGGAGCCAAGCAAGAAACTCAAGTAGCAATGCTAAGTACCCAGAAAAAATATTCAAAAAAGTGTTCGGAATTTGAAATGTGTAGATCACATTCAAATTCTTGACACGTTTCTAAATATTATTTTCTGGGTACATGCATTTTTGAAAGCTAATTCCAACATTAACCTGCTTCCTTGCCCTTGACCTAGCAGCTGACTCTCGGTTCTTGATCATCCTTTTCTGCCTCCTCTCAATGGTCTTCTCCATCATCTCATCTGTGAATGAGCGCTTCCTTTCAATGCCCATCTGAGATTCCAAGGAACAACTTGCTGGCACCATTGGCATTGGCATTGGCATTGGCAATCCCAGCTGGTTCTCTGAGTGACAACCAACATCCACACCACCCGGGGTCTCAAACTCCAACTCTGAAACTTGGAAATTTGAGTCCACCACTGATAGTATTGGCATTGTCATTTGCTGTTGTTGCTGCTGCTGATGATGATGATTATGATGAACAGAAGCCATCGGAAACTTGAACCAATCTGCCTGCTGTGACACCACGACCATTGGATCAATTCCCATAAACGGCTGAGTATTAATGACACCGGCCCGCGCTAAAATATCCTCAATGGTTGTCTCTCCAAGGGCCAATTGTTGATGCACTGATTTGATTTCATCAGTGGCATTGACATGCTCTTGATGAGCAATTTCCTTCCAGACCTCATCCATAGTTTTCCTACTCAGTGTCCCATTCAAATTCAAATTCCCTAGAAAGATTGAAGAAGAAGAAGAAGAGGAAGAAGAAGATGGGTTTTGCATAGACTGGCCTTCTTCATCAGCGGAGATCTCATTCTTGACTAACTCAACCAAATCCATATTATTCAAGGGTTTGGTTAAATTTGAATTACCCAGTTGATCCAAGGTAAGGTTGTGTAAAATTGGAAAATGAGGCCCATGAACTCTGCTGGGAGAGAAAACAGCTCTATAACCCATTTATGCAAACACTTAATCTGATCGAGTAATTGAAATCTGTTTTGAAAAACAGAACATGGTAATGGTGCAGAGCACGAAATTGGAATTGGATTGGAAAAAGAAGAGTGTAACACATTGCTTTTGAGATAGTTCCTAGTTTCCACAATTGTTTGAAGATAGAAAAGTCACATTGTGTGAGTAGTGGAATAGTGACGAGAGAGAGAGAGAGAAGTTTTAGAAGAGGTATCTGAGGAGCCAGAAAGATCGAAGAACCCGTTAGAAACAATCTCTTTATGCGGATTTGATAAAGAGAAGCATACTTGTGTAGGTATGTATGAGAGAGAGAGAGAGAGTTTTCATCTCAACAGCTAGGACGGGTTTGAGTGCTAAATTGGCGGGGGGATTTTAACGGCTTGACACTCGACGGTTGAATTTCTGGAAGTAATGATTGTGTACTCGAGGGATTATGGAGTGGATGAGTAGTCGCAAGATTACAAAGAAGAAAGATCAAGTGGTTGTATGCCCACCATAAGAAAGTGATGGCATTGGGGTAGAACTAGGACTACAAATGAATCGAACTTTTAATGAGCAAGTTCGGTTTGGCTCGGCTCGGCTCGGCTCGTTTAGTAAACAAGCCGAGTTCGAGCTTGACTAAAGATAGGGGATGTACTCCACGGTTTAGGGGAAGATAGGGTTAGTAAACGATCCGAGTTCGAACTCGCGTAAGCTCGGCTCATTTATCTTTATTTAAATTATATAATAAAATATTATTTAATATATAAATATATATATATAATATTAAAAAAAATTATCGCGCCAAGCCAAGTCGAGCCGAATTTGAGCTTCATTAATGTTAATGAGCTGAGCTGAGCTTGAGCCCAGTTTCTTATCGAGCTGAGCTCGAGCTCAATAAACGAGCTCGATAAGTAAACGAGCCGAGCTCGATCTCAACAAAGCTTGGTTCAACTCGGTTTAGTTCGTTTGGTGCCCTAGGTGAAACTCAAGCTGACTCAATCTAATGTAATTGAGTCTAAATTTTAAAATTTTAGAATTTAAATAGATAATTTTAAATTTTTGGTTAGGATCGAAGCTAAAATTTGCTAGTTGAAATTTAATTCGGCCATGACCTAGTGTTAATATAAATTAGACGGCCTCTCCAATGTATGTTGGGTTTTGGTGTGGCATTTGTGGATTTTGAAGTTTCTCCCTAATGGATTGGGCTTGTGTTGCTGTGCATTTGTACTCCATCAAGAGTTTATGTGCAAACCCAAGCTCACCAAGAAATTTCGATCATAAATCGTCTGCTATTGGCTCTGATATTAGTTTTTAGTGAATTACAAAGCCTACAAGCATACAACAGTACCGACTCAATCCATCTGAGAGGAAATTTTAGAGTCTACTTACCTAACACTAAGGACCAACATATATACTCATCTCTTTCTACTATTTATCTGATGTGGGAACAACACATGCTCCAATAAGGGGATGCACATAACTTGAATAATTGAAATTATATTGTTAATATATAATTATAAATAATAAGCATGAAATATTACAAAAAATTTATTATTGTCCCATCATAAGATAGTGTATTCTATAATCTGATACACATAACATAAATAAATTTTTTATTATGCTTCATATTTGTAATTTTTTGAGATATTTTCTTTGTTTCAAAAAGGACAATTTTATGATAATTGAAGTTAATTTTTTTGTGATTGAATTTGGATAACTCAAGCCTAGCCCGAATGTTTTGAGATAAATTTAGGCCTAGGCTTTTGGGCAAGCAAGTTTGGGTAGAGGTCGGGTTTGGACTTGACCATCTCTTTACACTTTAAATTAAACATAGATAAACCCTTAATTCGATAGAATCTACCCAAGTTCTATTCCTAACTTGTTGGAGGAGGTATTTGCTTATGAGAGTGTGCAATCCTCTGTCTATTTTTTATTTTTATTGTTCTAATATAAATACTCACATCCATTAGATTATGTCTTAAGATTCTAGTTCTTTGAGATTCTTATTTGATCTAATAGCTGTGAAGAGCAATCAATAATAATTTGAGGATAACGAATCCTTAGCCCTTTACCATGCGTAATATTGGGCTTTGAGTTCTATTAATGTACTATGTAACTTCCCTTTCTTTTTAAACTAATTAAAAGAATAGGAAAAAATAAACTGAATAGAATATATTAAATAATATCATAGTTTTGCTTTCGAAAAAAGAGAGGTGTGATTGGAATAATGGAATTTGATGAAATTGATCCAACTTGGAAGGAAAAAAACCATCTTAAAATCTCATGAAATGTGATTACATTTTATTGTAGTTAGAATTAGCAAAATATAATTTTACATAGTCATTCACCTACAATAATAGAAATCACCATTCGTTAAATTTTGTTTTGTTTTTCTATGATAATGAGTGGTTACAAAACATGATATAACACTTTCTCCCCAGCCTTATACTGTGGTCCACAAATATTAAATAAAATAAAATAAAATAATAAAATAATAATTTGTATAATTTGATTGGATTTAAAATTTGGTGAGAGAAAAGAAAAATGAAAGAAAAAAAATTGAAGTAGAAAATGATGGTCTGTAATCAGGGCAAATGGAGTCTATAAAGTTTGGGGCTTAGTTTCAATGTAAGCCCAATATAAATTCATCACGAGAGTTGGTCCATGGTTTGTTATCAAAGTGTTTTAGCATTAGGAAGCAAAACTACTTATGATAATCTATTAATCTTTATTTATTTTTATTTTTTCGGGGTTAATCGATACAAAAAAGAGAAACACTACATCAAACTGGACTATTAAAGTCCAATAGTAGCTAGAAAGTCAATAATATTAGAGTTGAATTTACAACCGCACACTAATTCTATGTAACCACTAAACTAAATGTCTTGATTTAGTCTATTAATCTACATCGCTAAATATCATTTGTAATGATATAGGAACATAAATTATATACAAAGAATGCATATAAAATGGTGTGGCACAATTAAGAATTAATTATTTTAAAACAAAATAATCCATTGCGAGATTTCTTAATATCAAAATTATCACTATCATATCATTCTAATTTTGATAGATAATTATTTATGAAAAAAATTAAAAGAAAAGCATTTTCCAAGCCCTAATGCCCCTAAATTTCCATAAAAGGCAAAAAAAAAAAACAAGGCAAAAAAAAAAAGAAAAAAAAATTAAACTTATCCAAAAAAGGAAATTAGGGCCACTATTTTTAGGGCCACAATTCATTTTCCTAAATTATATACAAAGAATGAATATAAAATGGTGTGGCACAATTAAGAATTAATTATTTTAAAACAAAATAATCCGTTACGATATTTCTTAATATCAAAATTATCACTATCATATCCTTCTAATTTTGATATATGATTTTTTATGGAAAAAATTAAAAGAAAAGCATTTTCCAAATATCATATCACCCCATAAGAGCATCTCCAATGGTAGTAGGCATTTTATCTATCTAAATATTACTATAAAATATACATTTTATTTTGCCTATCAACGATTTCATGTTTCTGCCCCAACCATGCTCTTTATTTTAGCTATTCATCCAAATACTATTAACTTTATAGAATGCCACGTCAGCAACAAAGATGGAGGGAAATAATCTTAATGATTAAATACATTTTGCCTAGCCTTGAAGGCTAGCTACATGTAGCTAGTGAATGTGAGCTGAGCCAAAATGCCTAAGCATATGCCTAGTGCATTGGAGTTGAAAAAAGTGAGTCACATTAGGCATTTTGACTAACAAGCATCATATGCCTAGTGGGTTGGAGATGCTCTTAGAAGTAGATTGATAATTTTAAATTTATATATAACCACAGTAGTTTTTGTAGAGGGCATGGGTCAAAGCTTGGATTGGGTTTGTGTGGGCTAGGTTATGTTGAAAATAGCTTGAGATTGTCTATGTTCCTACCCAAGCCACAATAATTTGAGAAATTTTAAAATTGTGTAAAATTAATATAGAATGATCGTGACTTTTATATTTATAATTTTAGAAGTTTTGGTTATTTATCTTTGATATCAATTTGATTCATGTACTTATAATTAAATCAATTCAACTGGTAAACTAGTTCATTCACTTTCCTTAAAGTGATTGAGAGGTTGTTATCTAATTTGAAATGTTTTCTAATGAAAAAATTTACCCTTGATTTTTTCCAAGAATCTAAACAAATGTTATTAATTAAAACTAAATTAACACAATATGAGAAATTGAAAGATAAAATTGATACAATTAGAACTACAATGATCAATTTAATACAAGAGACAAATTACAAGAATTACGAGTATAATTTTCTTTTTTTAAATGAATGTCATATAATTTTGGATGATAATTCTGTATAAAATTGGAAAAATTACAAATTAATGTGAACAAATAAAAGTATTTGCAAAAATATGGAGGTACAAGTGAGATTTGGGCTCTGATACTAATAAAATCACAAAAATAAAGTTCCTAAAAATGAAGTGTGTAGTATATATTAAAATGAGTAAACATATTGACACGTAAAATTTTACACATTCAACTACTCCCCTTCTTGCATAGGGAGTGAGGCTCACATAATTTAATGTGTAGATTTTAAATATCCTTAACATTATTTTATCAAACTTTAGTGTAATGTAATTCACATATTTCTACTCCTCATTTATAAATTTGTACATTGCATGATTAATCATGCCAAACAAAACATTTGGGAGAAATTGCAATCCAATACATGTTTTTAAAACAAATTTCAAATCAGTGGTAAAACTAACTTTAATAATTGAAGTGACAACCTTTTTTTCTATGACTTTACAATTTTTCTTTTGATCTTACAACTGATTTGCAATTTCCCCAAATATTTGGACAACTTCACTCTGGAAAAGCTCTTACTTTTCACCAATTTTGGTTTGAAAAACAGAACCAAAACAATCCAAACATAGCAGGCTAGCACATCAGAATCTTCTTCAAAGTTTTTCTCTGTTTGTATCAAGTATGGAATCTCTAAAGTGGTTTTGCTTTTGCCACTTGGCACTTTTTTATTTATTCATTGGAATTTAGACCACACCACAGATGAACAAAGCAAATTCTAATGGCTCACAATGTCTCATCCTCACACACCACCAATATTAGTAGCAAAACTGATGATGGGTATTCCATGCAAATACAAAAGATTTCTTGGATTAATGCCCAACTGGGATATAAAGTGAGAGAATTTATTAGATGAAGAATCAACCACCATGAGCAAAGAAGACTT